TCTCTCTCTCTCTCTCTCTCTCTCTCTCTCTCTCTCTCTCTCCTATTTTTCCCTTACTGTGCAGCCTCAAAATTCTGACTCTGATCTTCGTGCTTCAGCCTCCCCAGTTCTTTCATTATCTGTTCCTGTGTGTGTGTGTGTGTGTGTGGTCTGTGTGCATGAGCATATGTCGAGACCCGAGGTCAGCACTAATTTGAGTCCCTAACTGAAGTGAAGCTGCTGGGGAGCCTCTGCCACTCACTGTTCCTTCGCCCCAGATTATCAGTCCTGCCTGGCTGCAACTCACATGCTGGGGTTGGCCATGGGGCTCCCATGGACTCCTAGCTGCTTCCTGCTCTGTCTCTGTGGCTCCAAAACTCAGAACCCAGGACAACTCTGCTCACCTAGAAAGCTCCTTTGAGCCCCAGAGCATAAAGGGACAATAGGGGGATTCTTTCCTCCTCCCCAGATACAAGTAGTAAATCCAGAGCACCCAACAAAACTCTCCCCACCATAAATCTGAGACATGTTAGATGCTCTCGACGGGAAACATGCTTTACCATCTCATTTTATTTCTTAGTGTTGTAAACGCAGTAGGGTAACCAAAGCAGCGGGTGTGTAAAGAACTTTGCTAGGGAAATGGCAGCACGTGTCACACACACACACCAACACATAAACCACACTCATCTTGCCAGATAAGCAGTCTGGCCTGGAGGCTGCCTCCTGTATGTTGGGAGTTTCAAGACCGACTCTGCGGCCTTGCCCTAAACCATGGTCACTACTCTGAACATTGTACCAGCTGCCCAACCTACTCAACCCTTCCTCCAAGCCCTTCCCTCCCACCTGCCATCCCATCCCACCCCATCCCACCCCATCCCATCCCATCCCATCCCATCCCATCCCATCCCATCCTCTTCTCCATTCCAGCCCCATACCCTTAGTCTTATGTGTAACCAAAACCCCTGCCTGGCTCCCAAACAGCACCATGAGTATGGTTAGCTTGCAAGCAAGCTGTTCCCCACTGACTTCATGGTCTCTGAGTTTCCATGGCCAACAAACACTTTGCCCCTCCTCTGCCTCCATTCCTTCTCTAGTCAGACAGCTAGCCTAGGGAATCTGTCTGTCCATGAACTCCTCCTCCACACAAGGCACAGCTGACCATCACGACATTAGTTCATTCGGCCAACAAGTTCCTAGAAGGTGTTGACTGTCCAGCCTCACCACCACTTACTCTGCCCCATTCCAGCCTAAGCTTCCAAAAACTTGCTGCCTGCCCTGTTTTGGCACAATAGTGGCCCAGGATGTGGGAGTGTCACCAGCTTCACCCTCCTAGAAGGCTTAGTACAGTGAAGAGCAGGGCAGCTGCAGCAGATTCCTGCCTGCCTCCCAGGAAAGACCCAAGAAAGGGGTGAGAGTTCCTGCCAGGACACCGTTCAGACATCTGTTGAGAGCCACAGACTCACCGCCCATCCTTCCACCCTCAACCATTCCTTCCAGCCTATTCTCTGCATCCCCCCCCATCTGCACTCCAGAGAGAAGCCTCCTTCTGCCAAGCGTACTAGCCCTTTGTTTGTTTCTGCTCTGCAGAGAAAACCATGACCCACTCAAACCATACTGGCAACACGCAGTGGCACACTTGCATGTGACTGCATGTGTGCGGTGTGTATGCATGTTCGCATGAGCCTTTGACTTGTGCTCACTGAATACTCAGAGACTAAGACATCAGATTGCACGGTTTATTTAGGATGAAACAGGGAGGGCTTTTGGAATACAGGGGAAGCCAAGGGTGTCCTCGTTTTTCTGGTTCTGGGTGCAGGAAAGTGAAGACAGAGTCCCTTTACTCTGAGTGGTCCCACTCAAAATGAGACTGTGCTGGGTCGGATGGGCAGGCCACTCTCAGTTCATTGTCTTTTTGTTGCCCTCTTGGATACAGAGCTAGCTTCTGTCATCAGCAGGAACTGAGACAAAAGCTCAGAAGACAAGAAAGACCATGTTGAGATCCAAGAAGCCAGTTAAGAACAGAGGCAACGCCTGGTGGAAGGGACAGGCTGGACCTGGGCAGAGGTGAGCTGAAACTGGCCCGACCCTGGCGTCTACCAGCACAAGGTAGTCCAGAGTGATCCAGGCTCAGAACCGTGGAAAAAGGAGATTAGCTGAGGACAAACCCAGGGCCCCTGGAGTGGTATAGGGAGCAGAAAGGGGGCAGCAGACTAGGGCACGGGGGTTCTGAGGAGGGGAGCCACAGGAAGCCCTGTCTACCGACCACCTTTCTTGGAGGGGGTGCTCAGGCTGGAGCCCTTCGTTAGGGTGTCCTTGTAGTCGCTGCCGCTGCTTCGGCTCCTGCTCTCCCCACCGCGGACGCTGCACACTCCCGAGATGCAGCTCGTGCTATTGGCCACATAGCCACCACTGACTGTACTGGGCCGGAAGCCATAGCCTGCACTGCCACTGGTGCTGCTGATAATGGCTGCAGAGGGAGAGAGGTAGACTCGGACCTGCTCAGGCAGAGCTAGGGAGGAGACTCTCCTTCCCCCAAGACAGACCTGGCTCTCTAAGGACCTGATCATAGCTATCCCCTCATCCTGGGGAGGATATCCCAAAGACTTCTCCCTATGTCTTTGACTTACTTAACCAGGTGCCCATGTACCCACTTGTCCTGGGCATCCACCACTGTCCCTCCTATTCGTGGCTTTGCTAAATCTGCTTCCATCCTCTTTTTCTTGCTTTCTCCCCACGGATGGCAATCTAAGATCTGTGATCCCAGATCCAGTCCTGATAGCTTGAAGCACCCTTCTGGAGTCCCTTCAGTCCTGCCCCCCACAAGTCCCCATCATCTGTCTGTAATTTGCAAACCCAGCCTCAAGAGCCTGGCACAGACACCCCCCCCACATCCTTTTCTTAGAATTCATCCTTCATTTCCCTTCTCCTGTGGCCATCCCTTGCTGCTGTTCCCTGGGAGGCAGGATGACAAAGATAAAAGAGTCCTGGAAGGACAGGAAACTAGGAGACCTAGCCCTAGTCTGCCCTCTGTACTTTGTGATCTCAGCCTTTTTCCGGCTGATTTGTAGGCCCCTTGTCTACACACACACAGAGTGTGTCTATGCAGCACCTCTGACTTAGCTCCAAGCCCAGAAAAATACTTACAGATGCTGACAGGGGATGGGTACTCTCCTGACATCCTGTAGAGGAAAGAAGTAACATTAGGAGCAATCCACAGCCTCTTCCAAGGTGCTGCCCACAACAGCCCGAAGTGGGCTTCTGGACCTGCAGGGCTACTGTGGGCCTCAGAAGCGTTGGAGGCCACCTCTGAAACTCTGGGGGTAAGCAGGCCAAACACTGGACTGAAGAACAGTTTTTAAAGGATGCCTGTGTTCCTGCCAGTGTCCCACCGTGGTGAGCCTTCTCTCTCCCTAGCACACTGGGAGGCTAGGGTGGCAAGCCTAGCACACCCCCACCCAGCCAGCCCATAGTGTACATTGAAAGAGGGAACAAGAAAGCCTAATAGAGGAATGAGGTTCAGGAGAGAAAGGAGGATGCTCCCAGATGTCCTGGGGAGGTTTCAGGGCTGAATGTGTTAATTCATGTAGCTTACCATATAGTACAGCCCCCAGGAGGAAGTGTGCATTCAGATGTCATGGGTATAGGTGCTACTCTTTTTTCTGGTTAAGATGGGGTCTTATGTAGGCTAAGCTGGCATCAAAGTCACTATAGTCAGGGGTAAACTTGAACGTCTGATCCTCCTGACCACCTCACAAAAGCTGGGATGTTAGGAATGCGTTACCACGTCCAGTTGTGTGCAGTTCTGATGATCAAAGTCAGGCTTTGCACATGCTAAGCACCAACTGGCTGCACCTCCAGCCCAGCTGATGTTCCCAACTGTGATTAACTTTCCCCTTATCACCGCCCCATTCTCCCTTACCGCTCTCCCCCTGCGGCATCAGAGGCTCCTTGTCCAGCGTGCTCCACTCACCTGCACTCCTCGCTCTCCAGGAGCTTGCGGTAAGTGGCAATCTCCATGTCCAAGGCCAGCTTCAGGCTCATCAGCTCCTGGTACTCACGCAGCATCCTAGCCAGCTCCTCCTTGGCCTGGTGCAGGGCGCCCTCCAGCTCATCCAGCTTGGCCCGGGCATCCTTGAGGGCACTGTCCCCTCGCTGCTCAGCATCAGCGATAGCTGTCTCCAGGTTAGAAGCCTAAGCCAGGAATTCAAGACGTTAGAAAACTGAAGGAGGCCTGGTCTTTGCAGCCAAACCCCTCACATTCAGTAAGATCAGGTAGCATGCTGGATGCACACCACGCTTCTGCTCTGGCTGATAGGAGCCAGCAAGCCTTCCTGGATCTCGGCTATGCCCCTATTCCCAGACATATGGTGAAAGGAAAGCATGCTCCCGCCCTCTGCAGACCACTTCAATGCCTAGGCATTGATCGTCAGGCCGCATAGTGAGTAAGTGACTTTCCGTTCTTGAGTTGTTTAGGGTCTGCGGAGAAAGATATTATAAGACAATTTGTTCAATGCAGTGGCAACTCCAGCCCAGACACATGGCCCGCAGGCCAAGGTCATAGGAAAGAGATTCTCCCAGAATTATGATTATTTGCCAGGTGCTCACTGTGTGCCCAGCACCATCCTCAGCACCACCCATCACTGTGCCCAGCACCATCCTCAGCACCACCTATTCCACGCCTCATCTCATTTGACCCTACAGCCACCTGTGAAGGACGGAGGGATGATTTGTACTTATGACTGCAGAGAGGTTGTGTTAAAGCCCATAGGAAGAACAGGGGATGGTGTCTAGCAGCTATATTCTGTGCCACCTCGCTTCACCTCTCATCTGGTGCAGAGAGAATGGGAATGTTTTTCCTCAAGGCCTTTGTGGGCATAAGTTCGGCAGAAGAGTAGACACCTCTGCCATTTCATTCCCTCTGCATCCTCTGCCCCCACCTGCTAGCACGAGGCATCCTCACTGGGGACTCTCTGCGCCCATTTCCGCTCCTCAGCCACACCAGTGATATTTATGAAGCTACTACTGTGGAGAAGATGCTGAGGGGGTGTGGAGCAGCTGGGGCCCCGACTCTCTGTTTAGTCAGAGAACATGGGGTACATCTGCCAAGAGGAACTGCCAAGAGCTGTGAACAGGGAAGCCCAGACACTGGGGAGCCCAGCCTGTAGGACAGGGAAGGCACTGGGAGTGAGTAGCAAAGACGGTGCCCCAGAGATGTCCGGTTACTGAAGGCAGTGACCTCACTAGTATCTTCTCTTGTTGTTAGAGACATGTGGGAAGGCAAGGCCCTCAACCACCTCACATGCCCTCCGCTGGGCTCACTGCTACAGGCCACAGACCAAGGTCCCTCACCTGCTTCTTGGCATTCTCAATCTCTGAGCGGAGTCTCTGGATGAACCGGGTCAGTTCAGTGATTTCATTCTTGGTGTTTTTGAGGTCATCACCGTGGCGGCCAGCTGCCAACTGCAGCTCCTGGAACTGGAAAGCCCAAAGCACAGAGATGGATAAGTGTGATAGCACAGAGTCTGTGAGCTCCCTGCACCCCTGACTGAAGGGGATTCTGGCCTAGGCACTGACGCCTGTCTGGATATAACTGTGTTGAGACATCACATCATGGTACCACCTTACCTGCCACCCCTGGCCCAGTCTCTGCCTCTCACCTTGGTCTGGTACAGCGCCTCGGCCTCGGCCTTGCTCTTCAGGGCAATCTCCTCATACTGGGCACGGACCTCATCGATGATGCTGTCCAGGTCCAGGTTCCTGTTGTTGTCCATGGACAGGATGACGGACATGTCGCTGATGTGGGACTGGATCTGAGCCATCTCCTACAAGGACCATCGATAGGGAGTATATCAGCTTGACCACTGACAAATTATAGTGATACCATATAGGACCTTGGAACACAAGATTGTCACCTTCAAGCAAAGAAAATACCTTGTTGGGCTCTAGGAAGATTCTGCTGCCATGGAATGAAGCCTTGGGAATGAGGAGGGGGCTCTCGGGAGTAACATGTGAGGTGGATGGCTAACTCGGGGGCCTCCTTAAGAGCTGGAGCCTCTGTGACTCCCTCAGTCTCTAAACTAGAGTTTTAGCCACTGGCCACTCTGGAGAATGGGTGCAAAGAGACTTACAGCTTCAAAGAGACACTTGAAGAATTTAATGTCCTGGTCCATGGAGTCCACCTTGGCCTGCAGCTCCACCTTGTTGGCATAAGCTGCATCCACATCCTGCAAGAAGATGCAGTGATCCATGGTCACCACAAGAGCCACCAAAAATGTGCCATTCATCCCAGCCCAGCTGACTGAGGGAGGAAGGAGACATTATCTTCTTCTGTAGGGACGGCTGATAGCACGGCCCTCACGTCTCATCCTGAGAACCCACTCCATGAACAGGAATGAGGACCCTCAGAAATGCTGTTCCAGCCAGGCTGCTGTGAAAGTCACCTCTGCAACGTCTGAGCCAGCCTCATGCTGGTTCTTCCCACCATCCTCCCTGCCCCGTCATTCCTTCTGGATAGCATCAGCTCATCTGGGAACCAATGGCGAAGCACACGGTAGACCTAGCCTCTCCCCTGGCCTTGGAACTGCCTTCCTCTCACCTTCTTGAGCAGCACAAATTCATTCTCTGCAGCCGTCCTCCGGTTGATCTCCTCCTCGTACCTGTGAGAAGGCCGGAGATCATAGCTTACACCCTTCACCAAGAGCTCTGAAGTACCCAGGAAAGACCCTGAGTACAGAAAAGAATACCAGCCAGTGGGGCACAGAAGACTGAAGGGCCAGCCAAGCAAGGAAGGCTTCCTGGAGGAAGGGACATGGTGGCCAATTTTGGAAGAAGATCCATATTGAAATATGAGGAGGAAGTGTGTGGAACAAATGGCCTTTTGGGACTTCAGGATGAGAAAGCAAGCGGCTTCACACCAAATGTGGGCAGTGCCCATGGGAACCTCGGGATGCAGAAAGCAAGCGGCTTCACACCAAATGTGGGCAGTGCCCATGGGAACCTCGGGATGCAGAAAGCAAGTGGCTTCACTCCATGCCCAGTTACTTGGACATTTGTCCCCAGTGTCAGTCCCTAGCCTAGGGAGCAGGAAGCATGCTCTAGGTTTGCAGTGTGGTGACCCTACTTGGTATAGCCAAGAAACCCACTATCCACCTCCAAAACTTTGAACGGGGCTCGCTGCCCTGGGCAGGCTGGGTCCCCACTCACTTCTTCTTGTAGTCCTCCACCACATCGCGCACGTTCCTCAGCTCGGAGTCCAGCCTGAACCTGTCCCCGGACAGTGTCTCCAGCTGCTTCCGCATGTTGCTGATGTAGCCCTCGAGGATGGGCTCCAGGTTGTTCTTGCAGTTGTTCAGGTCCAGCTGTTGCAGCAGCTCCCACTTGGTCTCCAGCACCTGGTTCTGCTGCTCCAGGAAGCGCACCTGCAACCCAAACCCAGCTACTGTTGAGCGCCACAGAACTCTCATCACCGTCGTCACACGAGGCCACTGTGCTGGCTGCATCTTTCCCCTTCACCCTCCACAGCTGCAAGAGGCGAGCAGCTCTAATCAGAGGCGGGTTGGCCATGATCAGTGGAGAAGAAACTGAGGCATGAGGAAGTTTTGCTTCTTCCCAAGGTCCAGAAGTTTAGTCAAAGGCAGAGCTCAGAACTAAACCCAGACAAGTGTCTCCTCACTGTGGACCTCCAATCAACCAGAGCCCACAGTGACCGAGCAGAGAGGTGTGTGAGTGCACCTTGCACCAGCAGCAGAGGACCAGACAGGGCGCATCTGTTTGGAAAGGCCATCCACTCTGAAGATGAGGTCTTATGACGTCAGAGTGCAGTGAGGCTGGGGCCAAGAGCTGCTGAATCCTTCAAAATCCCACACTGGGCCACACCCTACTCCTACTCACAGATACTGTCCCCCAACACACACACACACACACACACACACACACACACGTAGCTCAAACCCCTCCTGTCTGGAGCAAGCATGAAACATGGAACCTGACAGACAGAGCCTGGCCCTCACCAGACCAGGGAATTTACCAGAGATCTTTAGCATATACCACCACCACCGCAGTTGCTTATGGTGAGCACAATTTTTTTAAAAATTGACTTTTTTTTTTTTAACATCAGTGAGCACAGGCACACTTAAGCAAGGCTGTGTTCACAGGACGTGGGAAATAACGCATGGAACTCTGCCCTGAGATGAGCCTATGCTCCAAACATCTGGTCTCTAACAGGTCATTCAGAGTTCTTCCTGAGCTGAGCATGAACCACACCTGGTACACCACAGTGCCTAGCATGTCACTAGACACCGCTAGGCTACCGATAAGACTCTCTATATCTTCTCTACCTGGGACTGAGATGCCAGGGTGCTCCTGAGACCAAGGCTCCTGGAGAGCTAACCAGGCTTTGGGTCTCCTTTCCACCCCCCAAAGGAGATACCCCTCCCCCCCATCTTGCTTTTCTGTGTCTCCAAATTTGCCCATTCATAGGGTCTGGCCAGCCCACCCAGGTTAGGGACAAACCCCAGACCCAAATCCTCGGAGCACCTTGGTTGTCTAGATGTGAGTAGCTTTGAGGATAAGAAGCTGCAGCACTAGCCTTGGCCCTGGGACTGAGCAGAGAATGAGGCCTCCACATGGAAGACTGGCAATGTGGAGCAAGGGCTGTTCCTGTGGCCACGAGGCCTGAGCTGTGGTGCTTGATTGTCATGGAGCCAACATGGCCCTCACAACTCTGACCCTAGACCTGGAGACAAGAGACTGGGGGTGAGCCCCTACCCTGTCAGCCCTAGAAATGGCTGTGTAGGAGTGGCATTGGCCTCTATGGCCTTGCTGACCAATAAGCAGAGGGAAGCTGTTGCTTATATTCCACAGCCAGCATCCTGGCTGAGCTGGAGGATCCCCTGAGGTCTTGTCCAGATCTGAGGGTCCTCTGCTTCCCAGGACCCTTTCAAGAGACAATAGCCACCAATGGGGGCAGAGGGACTTAGCCTGAGCCAGGCATTGTGCCGAGGTCTTCACATGAGCCTTATTTTCTAAACTAACAAGCCCCAGGGAAAGGTCTTGATTTCCACCAAAGGTAAGAACATAAGGACCCAGGGGGGACAAGTGATTTTCCCCAAAGCCACCCACACCGTCAGCCGTGGCCAGCTCTGACTACAGATCACCTCTACCCCGACCTAGCAAGAGTGCCCTCCACCACTGACAGGAATGCCCACCACTGACAGCCTTTAGCCCAAAGGGCCTGGCGTGACCACACACGCATTCATACTCCTGGTCCATTGGATGGGTGACTAGGGTACAAGGTCAGCATGCCTGTGAGGAAGACTGCCTTTCTGGTCCATTCTCCTCCTTCACTGTGTACAACCTGTGTGACCACAGGCTTAGAAATGGTACCAGGCCAAGTCTCCCCAGCAAGGCCCAGGTCTCCTCCCCAGGGTTCTGCTGTGACTGTCCCTGAAGCCTGTACCAGCATGAACAACCCCTGTTGGTGTTTTCTCTCAGAACTACAGAGAATCTTTTACAAGATGTCACCGTATGACACCGTATGACCGTATGAACTTTGTGTTCAGTAAATGCACCCAACTTCAATGCCTCCTGAGGGATTGAAGTCTACTCCAATAGGGGCAGTGGCGAGCTGTACCCAGGCAAGCCCCCACTGACCATCCTAACAGACTTACCTTGTCGATGAAGGAGGCGAACTTGTTATTCAGGGCCTTGATCTGCTCTCGCTCCTGTGCCCGCACCTTCTGGATCTCTGGGTCCAGCTCCACATTGAGGGGGGCCAGCAGGCTCTCATTGACTGTGACCTGGTGGATGCCTCCAGGTGGGCACACAGCCGGGCACACAGGTCCCAGGGCCACACTGCCGAAGATGCTGCCAGCAAAGCCACTGGCCCGGCTCCGGCCAAATCCAAAACCTCCATTCTTGCCGCTGCCGGTAGCCATGTTGAGAGTGATGCTTCTGGCGCCTCCCAGGCTGTAGAGACTCCGACTACCAAAGCTCCCACTGAGTCCTTTGCCTCCTGCCCGATAAGAGGATGAACTGCCCCCAGACAGCACAGCCGAGCAGCCGCTGAAGCCCCTGTTGCCAGCTCCAGACTTGCAGGTGAATTGGCGGCTCATGTTGCTTGTTGGTGGAGATGGAGTACAAGGGAAGAAGACAAATCCCAGGAAGGTTGTACTGACTGTGGTGAGCACCAGCAGGTGCCCTTATATATGCGTGGCACTGGGCTTGCAGATGGGCAGGGGAGCTTAATTCGTGGGTTTGGCCTGCCTAGGAGCAAGAAGTCATTTTCTCTGTGCTGAGCTAGAGATCAGCCCTCCCCACCTCTGAAACAACATGAAACTGTCAAATTGCTAGGCTTGCAAACCTTGCTCAGGTAATTTGGGTCTTATCTAATTAACCCGCTGTTATAAGGTAATTTGCCCCAGGCCACAGCCTCCCCAGGGGAATGTCACTGGCACTCTACCATCCTTCTCAGGCTGTCTCTGTGGTTGGCGTCCTTGCAGGGGTTCAGGGGGCAGAGATGACACAGCCATTTTGGACAGAGTTGGCCATTAAGTACAGTATTCACAGATTCCCATAGCTTTACACCCTGTCCTAGAAAAAACCCATCTAGCAGCCATTCACCCCAAGCCTTAGAGAGAAGTGGCCCTCTTTGTTGGGGGACTAGCATGACAGGACACTGTCTTTAGCACTGAGCAGCCCAGGCCACAACTATGGGATCATGATGACCATGTGCTTACACACTTTCTGGAGAGCCGGATGTCCCCATCGAACCTCTCAGAAACCATCCATAGTCAGGCTGATGAGGGGCTGGAGGAGTAGAGGCTTTGACCACTGGAGAAAATGAAAGGCCAAGAGCATGAAGTTTGGTGGAGACTCAGCTCACAGTAGGCAGTGAGGACAGACACAATGGACATGGTTTGGGGAGTTCAAAGGCATACCATAGGAGCTCTACTTCATCACGCCCCTCTCCCCTGCCATGTGCATCAGCAGGAACCAATCGGTCCTCAGCCATGAACACTAGCTCCAGCTCCTCTACCCAGACCTGAGAACTCAGGAGGTGAGCCTGGCTGGGGCCATTCCTAGGAGTCCAGACTTCACACAGCTGAAGTCAGAAAGCACTCAAAGGGAGTATGACTGTTCACCACACCAAACACGGTTTTGGTACCTGACTCCCAGAGCCTTCATCTGTGGTCCCCTCTGTCCCAGGTCACAAGGGAGTATGACTGTTCACCACACCAAACACGGTTTTGGTACCTGACTCCCAGAGCCTTCATCTGTGGTCCCCTCTGTCCCAGGTCACTGGATCCAATGATGGGCCCCAGTCCCCTCCATTAATCACCCTAGTCAGCTCATGACTGTCCAAAGGTCCCTGCCAGCGTCTCATGGTGAGGTGTGGTTATCAATTGAATAGGATCATGAAAGAAAAATCTGGACACAGGCTAAATGGCATGGAACACACTCTCCCCTGCTTTCCTTTCCTTTCCATTCCTTCCTTGCTGATATCAAAACAGCACCATAGCTCCCTTCCTCCACCCTCTTTTCTCCCTGTCCAACCTCCATCTTCCATCCATCCTTTGTTCCCCCATCTCTTAATTTCATGCTCTACCCAGCCCTCCTCATGAGTCTTCCTGGACCAGTACAGGGGGAGTCTGAGCCCTGCTCCCCACTCTTAGTCCTGGACGTGCTCTTGGTTGTGTGGCAAGGACATGGTGTCCTCAAGGCTTCTCTGAATATCACATCACACATCATCCCCTATCCCTTTTGTAAGCATAGCAGAGCTTCCCCAAATGTCCCCAGAGCTTCCCCAGAGGCCACCTAGCACGCATCTCTCCCTTCCTCCCACCCCTGTCTCCTTCACTCCATACCCCCCGTACATCTGAGTAACTCTGCAGGGTTTTCAGTGCTCTCAGTACAACCCTGGCCCAGCATCGCTGTTAATGGCTTTGCCAGTTGTACATATGGCAGCACCCCAGCCCAGCCAGCAGTGTCCCCCATCGTCTGCTCCCCCCACTCTCTGTTCCCTGATTCTCCTGCCTGCCCACGGACATCTCATTCACTGGTCTCTTCTTCAGTGCCCTCCAACATGTTGCCAAGCTGTTCCCACACATCCCTGCCCACTTTCCTCACCACCTTCTGACCCACATCCATGTTGCTGAAGCCATGGTTTCTGGCTTGGCCTGCCTTTTCTGCGCTCTGGTCCTCTGTCCATGACATATGGACAATGCATAAGGGAAATGGTGTCTTCTGAGTATGGCGGGGATCCCAGAGGCTATGATGCCTCCCTCTTTGGGCTCCTTGCATCCCAGAATCAGGCCCCTCCCATTCGGCAACCCCTTGCTGGAGACACAGCAAACAGCAGAGATGGGATGTTGGACGGTTTTCTACCTAGAGTGTCGCCAGATGGAAACCCAGACCCCAGGAACTCGATTTGTTTCCCACCACGTGTGGCCTTTCTGGTCTCAGCTTCTCCCAGGGAGAATGGGACAATAGACTTTAATGCAAGAGTGGCAAGGCTTGCACATGTTATTTGATGCAAAGCACTCCCTAAGGCCCGAAACATCCTTAATGTCCAATAACCGGTGTCAGTTACTAAAGGGCCAGAGGCTCGGCCTGCCTTCCCTCCTTCCTCTCCAGTGTGGCCTCCACATCAGCACATTCCCATACAGTGTCATCAGATGCTGGGGACAGGGAAGGGGTGGTGACCCTACACACCCTAGGCTCTCCCAGACCACTGCTGATCCCAGAAAATTGACCATTACAAATAATAGCCACAGCCAATCAAGTAGTTGCCATGTATAAAACTCAGTAGGAAGCGCTTTGTAGGCACGATGTCACATCTATTGGTGTTGATTCAATTATCCAATGTTTGTGGGACTCATAACCAACTTCTGATGGGAATGGTCCAAAGTCCCCTGACTCCAAAGAGCTTATCTTGGTGTCTTTGCCCTACAAAAGCAAGTATCCCTGAGAGAAACATCCCAGTAGGTTATTACCAAGTCATTTCCACAGTGGCGTGAATGAGTTAATCAGATACAGGCCATGAGGAGTGACCCACCCCTGTTGTTGATGAGCATGATAAAGAAGAGGGGAAGCAAGAGTCTGGACCACCCACAGGAAGGGTGGGCCCAGATCAGGTACTAGGATGCTCACGTTTTGCTAGAGGGTAAAGGGAGGGAGTGAAGGAAACCAGAATGGAGCTCCAGTTCACCAGCGGTACAAAGGCTCTGTCCCTGTGTTAGCTGAGATCTAAAAAGAATTGGGACAGGAGAAGACAGACCCCTGCTTTGAGAATCCTATGGCCTCATGGTGAAGACCTTACACACTTGTCCTTAAGCAGAGACTCTCTGACAGAACTGACTTTTGAGTGGTCCTCGAGCAGCCATGAGTGTCTTAGGGCCACAGCATTGTTCACCTGTTAAATGGGAAGTTATTGGACATTAAGGATGTTTCAGGCCTTAGGGAGTGCTTTGCATCAAATAACATGTGCAAGCCTTGCCACTCTTGCATTAAAGTCTATTGTCCCATTCTCCCTGGGAGAAGCTGAGACCAGAAAGGCCACACGTGGTGGGAAACAAATCGACTATGAGATCATATGATAAAACCTGAATATACCAGGGAGATCTTTCCTTGATACTAGGGCATTCAAGGAAAAGGCGGGTGGCTTATCAAATCAGCTTTATCTGTGTGTGTGTGTGTGTGTGTGTGTGTGTGTGTGTGTGTGACAGAGAGAGAGAGAGAGAGAGAGAGAGAGCGAGAGAGAGAGAGAGAAAGAGAGACAGAGACACACAGAGAGACAGAGAGGTGTATGTGGTTATGTTGTGTGTTTGGTATGTATGGTGTTGCATGTGTGTTTGTGTGTATGCGTGTGGTATGTGGTTATGTTGTGTTTGGTGTGGTGTGTGTGGATGTGTGTGTGGCTTATCAAATCAGCTTTATCTCTGTATTATATTGATGTATACTCAACTCTCCTATTTTGTTTATATGAGTGAATTGTCATTTTTCCTGCCAATGTGCTTCCATGTGTGTGGTGACAATTAGGATGGGACATTCACGGGAGCCCCATGGTTTCGATTGGTGTATCTGCGGACCATTTCCAGAGGTCTTGTGTCAGCAAGCCTCTTAAGAGAAAACCTATGTGGGAAAAGCTTTAGGGTTGGAGAAGGGAATGAGCAAAGAGGAGAGTCTTGGGAAACTTAAAAACACGTGAACTGCCTGCAGGAGAGGCAGTTTCTCCTCCTTTCAATCTTTCAAGGGAAGAGGGGTTAACTGACCCTTAAGAAGTAGGGAAAGCATCCCAAGATGCTGAGGGTCAGGTCATTTGTGAAGGAATGACCCACTAGTCATGAGTAGAGGGTGATCTGGGTACAGAAACTCTGAGTCTCAGGCTGTGCATGGGCCAGGGAGTCATTGAAGGAGTTGCGTGTGGGAGAGTTGGGTCAGATTGGGGATAGGAGAGGCTAGAGGCACCAGGAGAGGGGCAGGTGGTTCTCTAAGCAAAGTAATTATCCAAAATTAGAGAAAATGAGCTGGGCTATTTGGATGAGATCAGCTCAGGCCCTCCCAGCCCTCCTCGGAAGAGGAACCAGGTCATGAGTGTGTTAATCTGTGAATCCCCAAGAGTGGTCTCATTGCACTCTAGCATGGGCTCAGGTAGGCAGTGCTCTCACCCTGAGCCAGCTAGAGGGACTTTGGACCCCAGGATATGGCCACAATCAGACAACTTGAAGGGCAGGGGGTGTCTTCAGCCGATTTTTTACTTAAAAGGTCATAGGTGAGCTCACCCCGAGGAACTGGGGTATAAGGGAGAGAAGTGTAGTCTCTGGTGAAGGGGTGCCATTAAGGACAGTGTTGTCCCCTGCTACCACCCTCAGCTCTCTGGCTGGGGCACTTCCTTTGAGCGTGGTTGATCATCTTCTTTGCCCAGCTCCACATCTCTGACATAGTGTGTAGACTTGGGACTCTGAGGACCCCATGCCACCGTCTCAGCTGGGCCACTCATTACCCATGTAACAGTGGGTCTACCTTCCTATGCCCTTCTTACTACATCTCTGAGGAGGGGAACACCAACACCTGGTCCACCTATTCCCCGAGGTGGATGGAAGAGCCTTGTAAA